TTTAATGAAAAACTGGGCCTTGCGAAGGTTGAGCTTCAAAACCGAAAAGATAAATTTCTCGGCTCTTCGGGCACTACGGAACGTGTTTCGGGTGTTGGGTATGATTCTGGTGCTTCGGGGGAAGTTGGAATGGTAAAAATATGAATTTAGGGATGAAAGATGTGAATTTTCTAAAGTTACCCGGGAGGTCTCGCACCCCATTTATATAGGTGCGAGGTTCGGAGCTCCGGCCAAAGGAATGGACACGCGGCAGCAGCAGCGAGGCTCGGATGCGAGGGGAGTCATCGACACGCGTCAGATGCGAGGATGAGGCACGTGGCTCGCTTCGGATCTGCCACCGGTGCGAGGCGCGTCGAGTTCTTACTGGGCCGCACCTTCGGTCGAATCAGCAACGAGCACATGGCGGACACGAAGCGGCCTCGCATGCGAGGTGACGTGGCCGAACCCCAGCCATGCGAAATTCCTCGATTTTAGCATTTTTCTCGAATTTTGTGTCCCAAACTTCTATAATCCATAAGTTTCGTATACGAGCTCCGTTTTTTACGTTCTTTATATGCACGTGTAGGTAAAATTATGCTCTACAACTTTCGTTTAGACTCCGTCGGCTAATTTTGACATTATTTTTAATATTATTATTTTTAACAGACCGGGACGGGAAAATCTGTTAAAAATTCATAACTTCTTCATCCGACGTCCGTTTTCGTCTGTCTTTTTACCGTTGTACTACTATTGTCGAGACCTTCGATTCTCGTTTAGGTTGTGTCGGCTAAAAATCACTCGATCTAAAATTCGAGTTTTTAGCTGTCTACTGCTAAGCTGAAACTTAGAAAAATTATAACTTCCTCATACGAAGTCAGATTTGGACGTTCTTTTTATGAAAATTCTCGGTTTAACGAATACTACGACTTTTATTTAGATCGCTAAGGCTAAAAATCGTTCTATCGTAAATTCACTATTTACGTCACGTAGTGGCGTACCGGTTCTGTCGCGAAACTTTGACAGGTCATAACTTCTTCGTTATAACTCGGATTTCGGTATTCTTTATGTCGCCGGAATCCTTGTTTCGGCCACTACAACTTTCTTAATAGATATCGGCTTTATCTAATATTTATTTTCGACGCTTATTTTTATTCTTAATTCGTTAATCATAATAATTAAGCAGATAAGCACATAATATTCACATAATTCCTCTTTATTACTTCAAAATGAGTTACAAAGGTTAACCTAGACTATTACGTCAATATTAATGTCTAGCCTAGAAACACGGGCGTTACATTGTTACCCTTATTCTGGGGACAGTTTGACCTTATGTGATCTGGGGACCCGCACCCATAACATACTTTCCCTATTTTACAATCTGAAGCGATATGTCCTATCTTTCCACATTTATAACAAGTTCTTTGGTTCATATTACACTCACCTTTATGGAATCGTTTGCATATAGTACATTGTTCTGTCCCAGACTATTGCTCATAGTTACGATCTGAACTAGAAGTCTTGCCTTTCTTTGAGTCTGTATTTGAACTTTCCAACTTCCTTTTTCATGAATCCTTATTCTCACCCTAACGATTCTTTTCCCGCTCTCTTCCTTCCACGGTGTCTATAGCGGACTGGAAGGTACCTGGTTTCTGAATTTCTACAAATTCACGAATGGTGGTTTTTAGTCCCAAAATATACCTCTCCACCCTCCTTTCTTCCATAGACACATAAGACTCTGCAAATCTAGCTTTCTTAGTGAACTTAGTAGTGTACTCTCTCACTTTCATATTCCCTTGTTCCAACCTCAAGAATTCTTCTTCCAACTGCTTGATCGTCGTTCGAGGACAAAATTTTTCTTTGAAGATTTTCGTTAACTCATCCCATGCCATTTTCTTGGCCACATCATGCCCCCTAACTTTGTTCACCGTACACCACCAATGTATACCCTCCCCTTTTAACATTGTCGCAACATAAATCACCTTGTCCTCATTTGCATACTTGTTAGTATCAAATGTTCCCTCAATCTCCATGATCCACGTTGACGACAAAATGGGATCAATTTCTCCATCAAATGGTGGTGGCCTACAATTCATAACCGTCTTGTAACTACAACCCATACGTTCATGGTTGTTAATGTGCCTTGAGGGTTGTGCAATGCTTGGGTCAGGATTTGTATTTGGTGTACTATACCCGTAGTCTACTTCACTTCCGCCCAAGTTACCCTGGTACTCACTCATTATTGCATCTCGTGGCTGAGCAACTATATCTGGCTAAGTAGCGTGTATCACCCAAGCAATCTCATCAACCAACTCTTCTTTAGTGTTCATGTTTGTCACATGACCCTTTCCGCGACCTCGACCACGACCGCGGTCGAAGTCGAAGCTACCTTGGCCAGACGGTGCAACTATCAGTGCTGTTACAGCTCCTCGACCTCTTCCTCTGCCCCTACCTCCTCCTCTTCCTTGTACACGCCCACGACTCGCATTAGGGATCAATGGAGTTTCCGGTACATCTCCAGGTGCTCTAACATAAGCTCCAACTGGGATGCGTTCTTCCTCCGGGGTGACCCTAGCAAACCTTCCAGATCTCCTTGAATACATGATACCTACAAGCGAGATGTGGTCTAATTTAGTCGTTTGATTACCGTTCCTTCTATCTAAGCTTAAGTGTTTATGTAAAACACCTAATCTGCTTAAACAACGCTCTGATATCAACTTGTAACACCCCAATTTTCATATATAGATTATATAAGAAACAATCGTTCCAACATCTCCCAAGATCAATTCTTAACTTACTTATAGACTAAACTACAGTGGAAGCAAAATAAAATAAAATAAATTCCTCAATCGAAGAGCTTTAGGTGTTACGTCTTTGCAGAACTCCTTTGTCGTCTTGTTAAACAATCCTTCTCCCTAGCCTTCTTACTGCCACTTGTTAAATATTTACATGGGTTGTGTATATTTAAAGTTTCTAAATGGTTAAGCCTCGGGCCTAGTGAGTTCGTGTTGCACATACATGTCCATCACTTAAAAAAACAAAAGGTTTTATCATATAATTTCAATAAATCATATAACAAACATATCACCCGATGACATAATTTAGGGGAACGATTAATTATCCAGAGAAAGAACCAAACGTTCATTTCCCTTATCCTGGAGACAACTCATCATCCATTGTACTCAAGTATTTTAAATATCCAAGGAAAAGAGTAAAATTTTCAATTCCCATCCCCGCCGATCACACACATTCGTCATGCTCACGGCGATTAAACACCTACGCGTTCCCGCTAAACATGTCATTCAAAAAAACACACAATAGATAACAAATCCAAAATAACATTTGTTCGCAACCATACTTATCATAAAACATATTGTCAATAAATAAATAAATAAATCGCATAATAAACGCATGAAAAACTCACCTTGTTGTCGTTAGGTTTGAACCGAAACTTGTCACACTACCCGTACCCTACATTCCACCATCAAATATTTTCTAAGGCTATAATCCTAGTAAAACATTCTACACGTCCATTTCGGTTCCATTACACATATGTCTCGTTCGGCCAACAGTAATAGCTATTTAGTTAATTACAATATTCATAATTAATATTTCACCTGTAAATTTGATATACTAAAAAAAATAGTTACCTTAAATAAAAATAAATATATACCGATTTTCCCCATAACAAAATTTTCATAATTATAAGGTAATATATAGTTACCAGAGTTTTTCATGAAAATCATTTCATCATAAACAAAAGGGAAGAAGTATAATTAATCAAAATCACAAGGCTTAAAACAGTATTTTATGAGTTCTTGAAAAGAAAGTATTCAATGCACACACATGTATATGAATTTTTTTAACTTAGAAAGAAAAATATGATTCATAAAACTTTATGGTGTAAACTGAAAATATTCTGAATTATATAACCATAAAATAATCAGTAGAATTATAAAACCTTAAGGGCTTTAAACTATAAGTTACTTTCAATTCAGAAAAAGAAGACTAGCCTTGGCCCTACCAATTATGTAATCATGTAAATTATCATAGTCAATCAGATTATCACATTCTTTTAGCCCAAATAACTTAAGGGTCGTTTGATAATTGCTAACTGGGTTAGAGCTGACTGGGTTAAAAGCTGACTGAGTTAGAAGTTCTGACTGAGTTAACATCTGACTGAAAATTGATGTTTGATTTTCTATCTGACTGACTGTGCAAAATGACTACATTACCCTCAAACAACATTTTTTATAATAATTCCTTTATAATTTACCATTTAATTTATAATATTAAATGTTTAATAAAAGCATTCAAATTGATCAGAATAATGTAATTTACAAAATGATGTAATTTACAACCATTTTTCAAAAAAGATGCATATAAACATATATATAACACAGGGACAAAATGATGTAAATGACTTCTATTCCCCACCCTTCAACCTTCCCTCCATTACAGCCATAGTTTCTCTACTCTTATCTCCACTATACATAACTTATACCATCACAAAACCACCATCTACACTTATAGCCTAAGTGTTGACCAAATCTTAGCATCCTAAACCTTTGCATGGTCTGGTTGTGTTCATGGATAATTCAACTCCAAGATCTTGCTCCTGTTGTGATTTTTAGAAAATCTCTCAATGAAAGTGCAAAATACATCCAACAGCAATTGAGTCTGCATATCAAATCAGGCATAGTATATATTCATGTCACTTTTTACTCTTTAGACTTTAGATGAAGTTGCATAATATGAAATAAAAAGGAAAGTTGAAAAAATATGATGTTTTTCCAATATTCCCAAGTGTTTGTTCACTACATGTGAAAAAAATTACAATCTTTAATCTAACATCCTATTTACAGATAAATAAATGCCGTTGTAAATGGTATGGTCTTTTAACAAGCTATTTACATATGAAAGAAAATGCAAACCTTAAGTTCATGAAGATCAAATTTGTCAGCAACAAAATACATCTCCATATTCATTGATCATCAATTTCATAGTCTCAATCATCATTTTTGTCATCTCAATCCTTCACCCAGCCGATTGCAAAAATGAACAAGAATCAAACGAGATAAAGAAAATGAGACTGAAGTTGAATGCATACCTGGAATCGAGAGTTGGAGAAGAATGCCCCCACCTGCAAAAATTAAAGGAAAAAAGAATTAACTTAACATCAGAGGGGGATTAGGAGTTCATGGCTTTGTGATTGAAACCAAAGATTGAAGAAAAAAACCCTCATATGAGGAAGACGACGCATTGGCGCAGGAAGGCATTGGCGGAGGTGGATGAAGGAGACGTCGAAGGAAGGAGGCTGCAGGCTAGGAAGGGTCGATGGAGGAAGAGAGCGTTTGTGATGTCCTTCACGATGGAGGTGTTCAAGGGCAAAACGGAGAGATTTTTAGTCAGTCCATTTTTTACTCAGGACCGAGTCAGACAAATTTATATGACCAAATCAGAGGATAGGACTGGGTCAGACATGTTTAGCCTTTTATCAAACGGGCTGACTGGACCGAGTCAGCCAAAAGTGCTGACCGGACCCAGTCAGCTGCATATCAAACAGGCCCTTACCCGGACTATAAAAAAACCCTAATAGTTTTCTTCTTAACCCAAACGTTCACTTTTTTAGTTTTTTCTTCTTTCTGCCATTCTTATGTACTTTCCAATTTACCCACAATAATATCAAAATTCAAAAATATAGATAAAATGGCTACCGACTTTCTCCGCTTCTTATTAATAAGTATCCACAATCAATTATCGAAAAGAAACTTTAAATTGGTTGTTTTCCAGATTTTTATACCAAAAGTTTAGTATTTCAAAATTTCAGCAAATATCTTATTAGTGGCCCGAACAGAGACATTAGGTGGAAGAAAAACACCAAGTACGACCATATAAACCTATTCTAACTACTATAACAAGCTGAAAATGAAGAATCATACCTTAATTTCGAACACAACTCCGAAAATACATTACGAACTTCTTCATTTGATTTCTCCCTCGTTTCTAAACCTTTTCTTGCAATTCTAGTGGAGTTTTCATAGGATTTGTCAAGCTTTATATAACCCCTAAGATTGTTTCGATTATCATCCACTGAAATGACCGAATTTAATCTATAATAAAGGTGACGATTTTGAGGATTTAAACCACATTATTTTTCTTAATTAAACTCAATTACTCCTAATTAATCACCCATTATCTTATTTTAATAATATAGTCAAAAAAAGAAATTTTACATTTATTTTTATTTGAGTTATCACATTTTATACTACCACATTTTAAAACAAACAAAATTTGAAAGTGTGCTTCTATTTCTTGCACTTAGCCCAAATTTAAAAGGGTTAAATCCAAGAAATATAAAAAAAAATACCTTGAGGGATTTAGATATCCTATCAAGGTCAAAAACAAGTATTTCCATGAACTTATTTGGATTCGACAGACCACCCATACAAAAAGCCATTAAAGAAAAAAAAACAATCAAATTAATACGACGTGATTAAGCCATGAAAAAACAATCTTCATTACCTCTAATTCTTTTACAATGTAGATGTTGGTAGATAGATCCTCCTAGATTCAAAATAATGTTTTTTTGACCGAGCTGGATTGTCTTTGATATGTTATAGATGTAAGTTATATGGCTACATGTGCAAAGTTTAAGTTTGAAAAAGGAAAACTATAAAATATTGTTGTAAGATTGTTTTTGCAAAATAATAATAATAATAATAAATAAATGAATAAATGAATAGGACCATGGGCGGAGCCACATGAGAGCCAGGGTGGCCCAGACCTACCCTCAAATTCTCATTTTTTATATATAATTGTTAATTTGTTTATATATATATATATATTATATATATATATATATATATATATATATATATATATATATATATATGTTTTAATGTGGATTGTAACTATTGTGTGGATGTAAGGCTCCTTTGTGGTCCAAGCATTTTTGCTAAATTAAATTATATTTAAAAATGGAAATTATCGGATTTTAAGGGATAATTGATTTTTTTAATTTTAAAAATATCATTTTTTTATTTAATTCAATTCTAACATATTTTTTTAATCATAAACGATTTGATTCTGTTAGAATGATATTCTATGAGATTGAAAAATCTTAGAAAGAATAATTTTTATTTTGCATTCTACCAAAAAAAACATTATCGAAGTAAAATAGATAAACAAAAATAAGTAAGAATACGTTGATGATGCATTCTAAAAGGTTAAATTTGGTCCAGTTTAAAAGAATATATGTCGATGATATATTTTGATAGCAATAAGACGATCAACATTGTTTTCTTTTAGAAATATCAATGACCATTGTTTATCTTCATCCCACGCACCATCATCCAACATTTAGGCCATTGATCATCATATTCCCCTTCATGCACCATTTTTCTTTATTACCTTCATGCCCGCAATCATAAATTCTTTTAGAATAACTTCCACGATATCGAATTCTGTCAGAATGACTGGCGTGAGAATAACAAAGTTTTATCCCCTATTATTCATCATCCAATCTTTAGGCCATTGATCATCATATTCCCCTTCATTTACCATTTTATTTATTACCTTCAAGCCCGCGATCATAAATTCTTTTCGAATAACTTCCATGATATCGAATTTTGTCATAATGACTGGCTTGAGAATAACAAACTTATATCCCCTTTTCTGCTATTCATGATTGTTCATGATCAGTAAAAAGGAATAGTAGGCATTTAGTGAGAAACATATTTGATAAAAAAAAATAATGAGGTATTCCATTAGGAACATCTATTAGACAAGAAACAAAATTCTCAAATCAATGAAAGTATTTGTTATATGTTGCTTTGGGCCCTTATTTCTTTAATAGAGATTATATATATATATATATATATATCAAAATGATGGCATCATGATATGTGATCATGTTGCATAACATTGTATATTTGCATCTGTTAACTTATGCATCAAGATTCAAGGCATGTCACAAATCATAAAGAACACATAAAAAAGAACATACTGAAACTTATTGGAACTCATTAATAACATAATACCTATTCACAATCTAATTTCATTATCACTTTTATGGATCCGGTAACAAGTTCTGTAGCTACAAAACAACTCAAAATGTTAATAACACAATACATTATCTCTAATGTTCAGTTTGCTAGAATGAATCATATGGTCTTTTTTGAAACTGGATTAACAAAAGGAAGTATAAATTTTGACTACCCTTTATGTAGATTTGGACATTTAATGTTGAAATTGATATGGGTTATAAACTACTTCAAGAAAAAGAAACCGAGATCTACAAGTAAGAGAGATAATGAAACTTTTTTTACCAATTCCTCTATGACGATAAGGTTTGAGGACAACGAACATAACAATGTAGCCTCTGAAAGTATTATGGTGTTCTCCCATTTTAGAAACCACGGTTCAAATGCATTTCCCCTTATGGAACGCCAGCACATTTATAGAAATAGATCAAATACTTTTTTTTATTTGATGACGAATAAGAAAATCAATTGAAATTATAGAAAATGGTAGATTGAGAGTATGAGGAAGGAGAGATTGGGACAAAGTTAAACGAAGTAACCATCTTTGAAGATGGAATAGGGTTCACATAGTTCTTCATCAACGAGGCACATAATAAAGGGCAAGTGATGCCCGTCGGCATAAAACACATAATCAAACCCTGATTCATCTACAATGGAACCATCCAATGTAGGCATTTTCTCCATTGTTAATGGTGGCTGGATCGACTTGATTTATCACTTTGTTTGCCCTAGGTCGTTATAGCTGCGAAAACTCACGGGAATTATAGAATCCCTAGAATTAGAGGTGAATAAGGGAGATAGGGTGGAGAGTAATGGCGAAATTGATGAGGCATGGGTGGATGATATTCATCAGATAGGTGAGAGCGGATATCACCGGTGATTTTAGAAAAGGAAATGGAGAAGACGCAAAAAAAAAAAAAAAAAAATTAGAGGGTTGAGGGTTTACAAAAGAATAAATAGTTATAGATGTAAACTGATTTCCATTAGTTTGGCTAAATTAAAGGTAAGATTATAATTCACCATTATTTAGGTTTTTAAAATGTTTGGACCACATTAATCCCTACATCCTCACAATAATTATTAATCAACATATGAACCTACCTCTCTCTTCTCTCTCTCTCTCTCTCTCTCTCTCTCTCTCTCTCTATATATATATATATATATATATATATATATATATATATATATATATATATTATATATATATATATATATATATATATCATTTTGTGCAATTAAAATTGTAAAAGTTGTTTAGTTTAACCGGCAAAGTGATTCAAATGCATCTGTGTGATGCGTGGTTTCGAGCCCATTTGTCAACAATTTTTTGAACATGGTTGCATTTAATTCCATTTCATTTAAATCATAACTATAGGTTACAATTTTAGCCACTTAATTATACTCTTATTTTCACAATTTAACCCATCTTCTAATTTCTTCAATAAATCAGTTTTAAAAATTTATATATTCTACCCCTCAAATTTAATAAAATTTTATTTTTCTTATTTTAATTAATTTAGTTACTTTTTTAGTTTTCTCATGTTACAACTCACTTCCTTCAATTTATTTTGCTTATATAAAAAAAGGTTGTATTTAGAGGGATCCAATTTTAGTTTTCGCATAGAGTCTTCAAAATCAAGAACCGGCCCTATATGGTTTCTAACTAATTTATGAGGAACACCCTAAAAAAATTTCCGGTTTCACCCCTGAATAAGACTATGGTAGGATGAGTAAAAAATATCATAACACAATCATTTTATCTAGAAATTTGAAGTTAGGGAAATTCCAAAATATTATAGCTTATTTCGGATACAAATAATAGTATAATACCATAATACGGTGGCATATGTATACATGGACATAAAAACAAGGAAAAAATAAAAAATTTTATTTTATATTTTCAAAAATGCACCTTTCACACACAAACCCAAGTTTGCAAATAACATTCGTGGATGCTACTGCCATTTCTCTTACATATCTAGAGTACATTTGATTGCGGGAAATTTATAGTTATCCGGAAAAAATACAAGTGTTGATTATATTTATTAATAATCAAAATTATTGTAATAAAAAATCAATTAGTGGTAATTTGTTATAAGGTGTGATCCTATAGGATCATATGTTATTAGTAATATCATTTTATAATTACTTTTGCACATACAAGATCTTTCAATATTTTCATTATAAGGTTTTATAAATACGTTATTGTATTTTAAAATTTCAATCTGTATATGAATTTGACACACAAAAAATAAACTTTATATTATAATTAATTAATATAATTTAATATATAGCAAAATATCATAAGTATTAAATATTACATTTAAATTATAACTAATAAATAAAAATAAACTAAAAATGTATCAATATATAAAAGAGGGACTAAAACCAAAAAATGAAAGTTCTAAGAAACATAAACACTTTTAATTCATAATATTATACTAAGAACTTAAAAAAGTTCACATGACTAAATATAAGATGCTCCCTAACACAATGTAAATATATTTCCACATGTTTGTGTAACATCCCAAATTTCGAGTCCAAAAATTTCTTTTAAAAACATTACTGATTCATAGCATTAAGTCATTCAAACATACTAAAAGGGGTTTATATGACAAATCGTAGTTTCATTTCCAAAACACTTGTTTACTTATCAGAGTAAACATCCCAAGCTAACTTGTCATGGTGTGTGCACTGCAACCCTTCTGAGCTCCTCTTCTGAAAACTGAATACCTGAAACCAAAACTGAAAACCGTAAGCACGAAGCTTAGTGAGTTCCCCAGATACCACATACCATACAAACCAACTGATCCATACATACCATACGTAACCATGAGCCATACATAACAAACATATCCATAATCAAGTAAAGTGCTATGTGCCAAACATAGTCTTGCTGTATTGCCACGAGCCGCACGTGGTCTTTCTTGTCAAGCCTGGGGGCCACTCCCTGGGTCTTACAGACAAGTGCCAAGGGCCACCCCCTGGTCTTCCATGCAAGCGTCACAAAGACAACTATACCTACTACTCTACTAGGCTACTCAACATACAGTGTGCCAGGAGCCACCTCCTGGTCTTTCATTCATAATAGTATAAAGTGTGCCAGGACCCACCTCCTGGTCTTTCATACATGTTGCCTAGGGCTAACCCCCGGGTCTTCCTACCATACATAATAACATACTGTGTGCCAGGAGCCTCCTCCTGGTCTTTCATGCATAATGCCTAGGGCTAACCCTAGGTCTTCCTACCATACATAATAACATACTGTATGCCAGGAGCCTCCTCCTGGTCTTTCATGCATAATGCCTATGGCTAACCCCCGGTCTTCCTACCATACATAATAACATACTGTGTGCCAGGAGCCTCCTCCTGGTCTTTCATGCATAATGCCTAGGGCTAACCCCCGGGTCTTCCTACCATACATAATAACATACTGTGTGCCAGGAGCCTCCTCCTGGTCTTTCATGCATAATGCCTAGGGCGAACCCCCGAGTCTTCCTACCATACATAAACTAAATGGGTCGGCATTGTGGCCGTAGACCCATACAAACAGTGAGGAGACTCACCTCGCACTGCTGAACTTTGTTGATAACCCTCTGGCTGCTGTCCGACCACTCTCTGAACCGCTGCTCCGCTAGCTCCCCGAGCTACTAATATCAATAAAACACTTAGTTCCAAACTGAACTCTAGAAGTCAAACTAAGTCAACTCTGGTTAAAGTCAAAGTCCTGGTCAAAGTCAACCTTCCAGTTGACTCGACTCGTCGAGTCAACCCGAAGACTCGCCGAGTCCTTAAACTCAGAAGCTCTCAAAATACGACCCAACTCGCCGAGTCACCCCAGGACTCGTCGAGTTCAACGATCTCTGAGTCCCATCGTGTCCAACTCACTGAGTCACCGCTCAACTCACTGATCTGCGTCTTAACCAGAAGAGGTTGGGGGTTCTGCGACCTGACTCGTCGAGTCCAAGAACAGACTCGCCGAGTCCTAGGCAATCTTCAACAGACTCGCCGAGTTGTTCTTCCAACTCGCCGAGCCCATGCACATATTCATACAACTCGTCGAGTACACCCATGTGACTCGCCGAGTCTCTCCAGTTCTCAATCCATACAGTGGCTTTTCGAGCCATGCAGGGGCTCCAATCCATAGATCCACTCTTCTACAGTCTATCCCCCACGTAAAGTTGCAAACTTTACGTGAAACCAAGGAGCTAAAGGCCCAAAACACTCTAGGGTTAGGGTTTAAGGCAAAGGGGCATCACCAATAACTTATTGACATAAACTTTATGACCTTCTGGACCATCACAAGTCTAGATCTGAGGTAGCAACCTCAGATCTAGGCCTCTAACTCGACATAGATCTCAATCATGCCCAAAATGCCCCAAATCTCAAACATAAGATAGATCTATTTGCAATAAAGCCAAAGCAACAGCTTATTACCTCCAATATATGCTCCAACTGAAATGGATCCCGGATCTACACCACTCCTTTGCAGCAAGCCTCTTCATCTTCAAGCCCCTTTCCACCAAAATCACTTATCTAGGCTCTAAATTGCTTCCAAGGGCTCTCACTCACGATTTAGGGTTTCTGGATCTCAAAAGGGGAGTAAAGAGGCTGGGGAAGGGATGTAATGTTCTTTAAATAGGGCACAACCCCCGGGATTAGGGTTTTTCTCGCCCAGACCAGACTCGTCGAGTCCACTAGCCGACTCGCCGAGTCGGTCACTTACTCTATGCCCCGGATCCCTCTTCGACTCGTCGAGTTCCTCCCTGGACTCGACGAGTTGACTCTTGACTTAGAGCCTTTCCTTCCTTTTCTTGGTCTTTCTGATTCTGGGTGTTACAACACTCCCCCACTTAAACCAGACTTCGTCCTCGAAGTCTGCCACGACCAACTACCTTACCATCTGGTCGCCACTTTACCACTAGGTACACACTCCGCCCATCCGATCCAAACCTTGAAGATGTCATATTCAGAATAACCCGTTACTTACTACCCTCGAGTACAACACTTTTATCCAACGGTAATCATACCGATACTCCTGATACACTTACCCTTGATTCGCAAGGGGTTTACCCTTTTACCCTACACTGTCACTGGCCTTTCTAAGGCACTTTCCACAAGCAACAACCTTCCCAATTTCCTTTGAGGACAGATCCTCTGCTGAAACCGCAATCCCGGCCACTCCCAGTGCCGGCCACCATACCAATACTCACGGAATAGCCCCCATACAATTCTCCAATACTGAAAGCTCCACCCAATCGTGAGAATTCAGACAATCCTTCGGGTAGCAGATCCCTCTCTACTACGTTTAAGGCTCGGACGAGAACGGCACCACCGAGCCAAATCCTTTACTCTGAGATCATTCGATCCCGCGATGAGCAGCTTAGAATCATCCGATCAGCTCACGGCTTTTC